CTTCGTAATCTTCTTAATTCCTTTCTCCCGACACACACACACACACACACACACACACACATATATATATATATATACATATATATATATATATATATACACACACACATATATATATATATATATATATATATATATATATATATATATATATATATAAACACACACACTAGCGTTGAAAAGTTTGAAGCCTCTGCCAGAATTAACATGGGATAAACTTCACAGAAAAGTGGAAAAAAAAAAAATAAAATAAATTCCTTTGACTTATTGAAAAAAAGAATGGAATCAATTATCTACCCCATCCAAAAATTTGTGCTTCAATAATCAAGGCTAAAGGAGGATATTTTGACGCGAGCAAAAATTTTATCCTAAAATGTTTTTTTTTCTTTTTGTCATAAAAAAATTTCTAAGAAAAAAAATCATGTCTCACTTTTTTACCATTTTATCTTATTTAAAGTACCATTAACCCTCACCTGGCTTTTCTGATAAGGAGTGTGGCTAGACACTCAGCAGGATTAAAATGACACGTCGAAAGGCAGGCGAGGCTCTACGGCCGTCTAGCTCAATGGGGTAAACTGGATCCCATAGCTGTGTATACAGCCAGCGTGTTAATGATATCACTGGGCGGGGTGGAGTGCTTCCTAGAATGAAGTCAACGGCCAGGCCGGAGGGTTGCCACAACGGAATCAACGAGCAAAGTGAGCCTTCAACTTAGAGGGCTGCGGCTTGACCTAGAAAGCGATGTGCACCCCAGGTCTACTGGCCCTAGGCATACTGCATATGAATGGAACTTCTCCGGCTTTCGACCAGGATATGAGAAGGGAACTGATGAGTTGCTCAGATAATGATGATGATGATGATTGTCTATTTTCAAGTAAAACCTCCACACTTTTACTTAACCTAGGTACTTAAGGTCTGAAAAGTTCTTTAGTTTGGTTTGGTTTACGGCATATTAACCTCAATGGATTATTTAATGCCGACAAAATTTTTATTTCTGGTAATATGTTTTTCTTCAAAATGTATAGCTGTTTCTATTGCAAGTACATTTTTTAAAGTATTGCTGATAATAATTTTTCCTTCAAAAATTATTGCTGGTGATATTTTTTTTATTACAAAGTATGTCTGGTATTAAAATTATTTTTACACAAGTTTTGGTGGCAACTATTTGCCAATAGCTACCGCCCCGGGTTAGGGTGGACCTGGGAACGCCAGCAATTAAGAGGCCTTGCTGCAGTGCGTAGTTTCTCGTCTTACCCAGAACGCTGATGTAGTTTATCGTCATACCCAGGACGGTCTGAAAAGGTGTCCATTAAAATGGGTTTCAAGAGTGTGAGAGAAATGATGAAAAAAGTTACCTTTTACCAAATAAGGCCTTCGAGTTTAGGGTTTTACAGCCTAAAGAATCCTTGATCATGCGATGTAGCAAATAAGAGAGAAAGAATGTAAAGGCCATAAAGGAAGAGAGAGAGGGGAATTTTTTTTTTTTAATTCCATGACCTTTCAGGAATTAATCGATCATGGGTCTCTACAACCTTTCAACTTTTATTTAAATATCATATCCTTTCATGATGTAAACGTTCATGATTCTTCACAGATTACATTTCTATAGACAGTAGGCTCGTTTCTTTTTACCTTCTCTGCGAATTCGAAGTTGTCCTTTTTCTTAAACACCCAAGGTTCCAAAGTCTAGCCAATCCTAGCATTTAGCTAATAACTGGGAGAACAGACTGATCGATACCCTACTCAAGTGTATTTGTGCGAAAGTGATTGCAACAGATTAGGCTGGAATTTGACGTCGGATCCTTGCTTTAATATCTCTGAATAGACATTTCTATTCTTCGTTTAGGGAAAGCAGACGTTTCTTGATACTTTCAACGCGGTCTGAATGCAGAGTTATCTTCCCCTGAGACTGGTTGTCCTAACGTATCTGTATAGATCAGTTTACCCTGCGATTTTACCTATTACATATAGTTTGAAGAGATGAGAGCGATTCGAGCATTTCACAATGGCCATTTGTACAAAGTGAATGCAAACTGGTTGCTTCGGAATTTGAACTCGGTTTGCTGGTTCCAGTTTTCGCGCGGAAACCCATTACGCTAGCCGAAACTTCCACCATCCCCGCATCCACCTGGTAGATTGGATCTCAACGACTTCCTAAATCTGAGGTTCTACCGACTTGAAACTGTCTCTCTTAAAATGGAGTCGGGAGAGACAAAGAAAGAGAGAAGAAATTTGAAGAAAAGAGAGAGGAGGACAGCCATTGTTACCTATTGTAAATTAAGGAGTTTCCCAATGTGAAGATGCCTTTCGTAAAATTATGGAGTCAAATGGGAAAGCGGGGAATTTATTTGAGCACCGATTTTCAAGATGAGAGATGTACAAGTCCCACGACTATTATCAGCAGGACAGCGAACCGAGTTCAAATTGCGTCCTAGCCTCTTACGTTTACTTTGGAACAAAAGCTTTTCGGAAAGCCAATGCTTACGGCCACATCCCGTTGGAACACCGCTTCCCGTACGATCACGGAAGATAAGCAACACCGAGCCTGGTCAAAACCTAGATGGGTGAGCGCTTAGAAAAAACAAATGCTGTAAGGTTGTATGTATGGGTGATGTAATGGATAATGGCTCAGAATTATTAATCAGAGAGCTGAGTTTCAATCCCCGTTGGAGTCGTTATAATAATACCTTCACGCGCTAATACCTTTGGGAAACGTATGAATCCATTTTTTTTTACAGTGATGGATTAATTAGTAAAACATATGTCACTAAAATATTACTATCTAAAGAAATTAAATTAAATTGCGAACAAAATATTTAGATTTTGGCATTAAATAACCCATAGAGTCGTTGATATGCCGCTAAATAAAAAACCATCGACCAACCAAACATTGGGAAAAATATGTATCCAAATCCTCTTCTGCATATGTATGGATGAAATAGAAAGAAAGACTAGGGTGACTTTATTGACAACCAGTGTATGAGAAAGATTACTCTCAAATCCAAAAATGTTGAAATATAATGAGAAACAAATTTTATCAATAATTCAAGATAATAAAAAAAAAGAAATATTTGAAGAGCCTTTATCGACTTCCACCTGAATGGATATGGCATTTAAAAAAATTCTCAAATTAATTCTTTACATATTTCGATAGTCTATGTTTACCCAGAAAGATTATATATATATATATATATATATATATATATATATATATATATATATATACACATACAGGTATAGGATTGGTGTATACGGAATAAATTCCAATAACCAAAAAATACTATTCCTAAAAGAGTGCTCAATACAGAGTAGAGCAAATATAATTTACTCGAAGTGTTGAAACAAAATGCCTATTTTTGTAGTAATTTTATAGCATATATATGTTATAATTTTCGTTTAAATTTGATTTGACTAGAATGCTTTGTGTATGTCAGCTGAAAAGTTAAATTCAAAGAAGTAGAAAACTTGATAAAGTCAATGGATGAAAGACTAATGAAAGTTATAGAATATCAAAGAGACCATTTTCGAATATAAAATAATAGAAGTAGATAGGTTTCACTGACACTCTACTCCTGTCTTTTGAACAGGAGTCAAAGTTTATCCTTTGTTTCCTGTTTAGGATTTGGTTTTCCGGTTCCTTCTAAAGTCTACTTCAATTGTATACTTCTAATGTCTCCGCCTAAACTCTGTAATTTTATTTACTATTTATTACTTCATTAGGAGTAGATACGTTTGCCTATCGCCCAGTTCACACTCCTCCCCGGTCTTTTAAACAGGGATAGGTGTTTATCCCTTGTTTCCTGTTTAGGATTGCGTTCCCGATTCCTTCTAAGGTCTTCTCATTCTCTTTCACTCTCAGTAGCCAGTTGCGTCTTAGTGGCATTATCGCCTTGTTTGAGGTGAACGGATTAAGAAAAATAGAATGATAATTTATTCAGGTATATGTGATACAAATACAAGTTTCTGAGGCCAATAAGTTTAGGATTTATTGATTAATAAAGAATTATACCCCAATTTGTTTCTTTACATAATAAAACCTTACATCTATAAAATAAAAGTTGTTACAAATAATATTTGTGGAAAGGCATGAACACCGACGCCATGTAAAAACATGGCGTGTAAAACAAGATATCTACTGAAACTAACATGATATATTGATTGCTCTTGTAAAAATGAATATATTCTGAAAAGTTGGCCTAAATCGGTTAAGTCTGTTAAAATAGTCGAATAACTTAATAGACCCCAGGGTAAAAGCGCGATTGCAGATAAAAATCGACGAAATATTCTATTTTTTAATACGTTTCCAGGTTAGTTAGTTTTCGCGTTGAACCTTTTAAATTATTGTCCGATTTTCCTACTCTTAATTATCTTTATAGTCTTAGACAGGAATTTCATGCCAAACACTCGCACATACACACACACACACGGCTTACGGCCATATCACGTGGAATCATCGCTTCCTATCTAATCTACAGAGACGAAGGTCTCTTAATCTTAATAAACTATAACAAACAAAACACAGACAAAACTAGAAAAGCAATAATAAAGATTTTCAAAAATAACAGATTCGAAATAGATATAAAAACTAACGTAAACGAAGTAGATTTTCTAGATGTGACCTTCAACCTAAGAGAAGGCACAGACAAGAAAACCCAATGATAAACCACTGTATATATGCACACATCATCGAATCATCCGCCTTCTATAATCAAAAATCAATTAACCGCAAGCTTTCCGACAATTCTTCCAATGAAACCATATTTATCGAAGCTAAGAAACACTACGAAACAGCCATAAATGATAGACGATACCCGGTAACACTCACATGCCGGCCACAGAGCACAAAAAAAAAGCTTACAGGAAGAGAAACATCATTTGATTCAACCCACCGTACAACAAAAACATAAGAACAAACGCAGGAAAAATATTCTTCAAACTCTTGAACAAACACTTCCCGCAATAATGCACTCTCCACAAAATATTCAACAAAAAAACACAGCTTACGGCCATGTCACGTAGAATCATCGGTTCTCGTCCAATCACTTCAGTTAAGAAAGGTCGAGCTTAGTTATTACCAAGATGGGTGACCACTTCGGAAGACCAGGTGCTGTACAATTGGATCGTATAAGGGGTGACGGCCCGCAATTATTAATCGGATGGCGAAGTTCGTCCCATTCACTTACGCGCAAATAACCTTTAGGAAAGGTATAAATCTATCGCTTCTACCTCCAGCTTGGGATTAAATAGTATGAGCTCTATATGAAAATCATTAATATCTCCAAAAAATTGTTAATATAATATTCACTCATAAAAAGAACAGCAATTATTCTTGCAATGCAATAAAAGGTTCCGCTCATAAATAACTTACAAATGGTTAATAAGCCTTAAAATGATAATCAATCAATAAACGTACGCGCGCGCACACACACACACGCACACACACACACACACACACACACACACATATATATATATATATATATATATATATATATATATATATATATATATATATATTCGTGCTAATGTCTATGTTATATCAAATGAGGCGCTCTTTTAATAAGGACGCGACATTTGTAAATTGTCATTAAATCGGGTATGAAATTCGTTATTTTTACGAATAGTCTAGAACAGGACTCGTTAACTATGTGCCGACTTAGGGTTTTAAAATCATTCAGTGTGCCAACAACATACGTATTTTTATACAAGTCAATGTCAATATACCTGTTGTACAATATATTTTATATAGTAATATATAGTATATATATATATACTTAAGTATATATTAAAATTGAAACAGTTAAATATATTCTTTGCGTTGTAGTAGTTATTGGTTCGGACTTCATGACGTCATTTGCGTCTGCGTGATATTAAAGATTGTTTTGCGTGCCTTAGGTTACCGACTCCTGCTCTAGTACATCATAACCCATCTGGACAGATATTTAGTAAAGCTCGTCTCACAAAACTATATTATTCTGAGTAATGATTTGCTTTACTAAATTCAAATATCCTTCTGAGCAGATATTTACGAAAGTTACAGGGGTCGCTTACCGTTTGCTAACGATGTGCCGACCTTGGGTTTAAAATCATTCATTGTGCCAACATCATGCGTATTTTTATACAAGTCAAGTTCAATATACCTGTTCTACAATAGATTTTATATAGTAATATACTTTAGTATATATTAAAATTGCAACAGCTAAATATCTTCTTTGCGATGTGGTAGTTATTGGTTCGGACTTCGTGATGTCATTTGCGGCTGCGTGACATAGGCTGCCGAGTCCTATTCTCGAATTTCACCTTTGTGGAGATACGAACGGCCCTTATGAGGTGAAGATATTTTTTGTAAAATAATAACAGTTTTGTTTCTATCCTATCAGTAAAAGTCAAATTAATTAAATAAGAAACCTGGGACGTTTAAAATATTTTTTTAATGCGATAATTAAAATTTTAAAGTAAAATTTTAAAAAATGCTATAAGTAAAAACGAAGGTAAAGACAGCCTTGATTTTTTTAGGCATATCACCCCAAACAAGGCAGGAGTGCCACTAGCACGCAAGTGGTTAGAGAGAGTGAGAGCAAGAGTAGAGATGGGTGTTTGAGAAATGGATAGAGAGAAGGACGGGTATTGGCATCAAGGCACCAGAAGATGTCGATTGACATTACATTTGAATATTTGAAGGTTATAGTTATCAGGGAAGCAAGTAAGGGGAAGGGAGTTCCACTGTCGGGAAGTGCGAAGAAGAGTAGAAGAGACGGCTTCATTTAACCGTTTCGACAGTGAAAGGGTGGGACCGAGATGCCAACCTAGTAGAACGCTTAATTTCATGAAGTTTCGGAAACTAGTGAAGGTAGCTCGTCAGAGCAGTTTCCATGAAAATATTTGTAGAAAAGACAGAAGGAAAACCACAGCACGTCTGTGAGAGAGTAATTATAGACTAGATACCAGATCAGGACCTATCACATTGAATAACCGTCTCCAGATTTTGTCGAAGACCTCGAGATAAAATCTGAATTTATTTCAGTAATTTTGATCGTCGATAAAATCATAAACGAAAAAGAGAAATATATTATTTATTAATATTTTACAAGTTTGGTTTCTACAAATAATTTCGATATCTATGTTACTGCCTCAAAATTGAACACTTTGAATATAGTTGAAACAAATAAATAAATAAAGTACCCTAATACTTAGAGACAGATGCAGATAAATATAGACGGATATGCCTGTTTGTTTGTAAGGTCGTTTGAAACTCATCAAATCTTATCGGAGGATTTATGTTGCCATTTTGCAAGTAACAGACGAGCCGGTTAATTTATGTGTTTCTTTCGGACTAATTTCCTTATCTTTCCTAAGTAACTACATGAAATGATTTTAAAAAAAAGGCTTGTCTAGTAAAAATAAAAGAAAATGATTGATTTAATTGAAATAAATGGATTATTTTTCTTAAAACGTATAAAAAATAAGATGCAAAATTTTACACGCCCATGATGCCATGTAAGGTGGCAAGACCTTTTGATTGTATTTTTTTTCATAAGAAATCAGTATTTCAAATAATGAAGAAAGTTATCCTGTACTTAAAAGTCAGCAACATACGGCTTTTTGAATAAAACTAATAGCAAACACGTACCGTCCTGTGTAAGACGATAAACTACATCCGCGTCCTGGGTAAGACGATAAACTACATCCAACATCAAGGACTCTGATGAGGAGGTTGTGAGGAGCGTGGAACCACCTTCTAATTGCTGTTATTCCCAGGTTCACCCTGACCCGGCGTGGTAGCACTTGTTAGGGTCCCAGCTATGGGCAAATAGTTAACACCGAAATTGAGGTCAAAACGTGTAAAAAATAGGTCTTAATACCAGCAAATCCTTTTTGTAAAAATTATTACCAGCAATACAATTTTTTTGGGAAAAAATATTACCAGCAATAAAAATCTTGTCGGCACTAAATAACCAATTGAGGTTGACATGCCGTAAAACAAACCAAATTATAAAATTCATAAAATCACCTAAAAAACTTGCATATCTTGCATATCAGTATAAATTCACGTCTTTTTGTTCTATATATTAAGATATTATTATTTTTCTCAAAGTTCATTCGTTGACATTATTCGGACTATCGTTCTCAACTTTGTTGCCATATTCATCAAAACGCTTCGGCCGTTGTATGCTCCGGACTTCTATATTTTGTTCGCTGGGGTAGACTGGAACAGTGGATAAAGGCGTTGGTTAGATCCAGTGACAGGACCCAAAGAGCTGCGAGTTCAATGCCTGGTTAAGGCAGTGGAGAACTTGGAGAAAGGAATTAACAGGAAATAACTGATAACTGAGATCCATTAAAAACATGGCACGTGGAACTAGAACAGTCTACCACAGTGAGCGAAATAAAGGGTTCAGTTCGACATTCCAACCACCTGAAGAAGGCCTGAGTGTGTAAATATGGCAACAAAGATGAGGACGATAGACCGAATAATGTAGATAATGTGCATAATACCTCATCTCAGAAATATAGACAGATACTGAAGAAAGCCGGAGCGTACAACGGCCGAAACGTTGTAATAAATATGGCAATGTAAGCAGTGTACATAATATCTCATCTCAGAAATATAGAAAGATTTATTTGTTGATTTCATGTGAAAACTTATTCATAATTTTCCAACATATATCAGTGAAATTTTCTTAGTTTTAATTCCAATTTAGATATATAGAAGACATTGTCATTTTAAACTGACGCCAAGTGTATAAAGGCTCATCGTTTCGATTTGCGTATTGTATATTCGTAAACGTAGTAATTACATTTCTACAGTTGTTTCTTCTTCATGCCATTCCCATTGAGATGGTTGACGATTATGGATTATGGCTCTCCACAATGTCTTGTTCTTTGTGGGTTTTAATAATTTTTTTAAATTTTTTTTTTTATCTCCTAATCTCTGTTCTCCTAAATGTAATGCACGTTATACGCCGCTACCTTCTGGTCCTTTTTCATTCGATCCTGTGAGAGTCGAATTCTCCAAATCCTCATTCTCATTATGTTCCCTGAAAATTTCAGTTGCCCCCCCACCCTATTTGAAATTACTTATAAGTGTTCTTTTTCTTTACAGTAATTACTTATTTTTATTCTAAAGGCAGACCTGAAATAATTCGACTTTTACGCAGATATCTATCTATCTATCTATCTATCTATCTATCTATCTATCTATCTATCTCTCTATCTATCTCTATCTCTATCTCTCTCTCTCTCTCTCTACATATATATATATATATATATATATATATATATATATATATATATAAAAAGTGAACATAAAAAGTCAACACTTACAGGCGACAGTCTGTTTCATGCAAGATGCACTCGTCAGGACTTTTTAGTTGTGGTCGACCATTGTCCATCGATAATTGATATATATATATATATATATATATATATATATATATATACCACCAAAAGCACTGCCATTTATATATATATATATATATATATATATATATATATATATATATATATATATATATATATAGAGAGAGAGAGAGATAGATAGATAGATATATAATAGATAGATAGATAGATATGTGTGTGTGTGTGTGTGTGTGTGTGTGTGTGTGTGTGTGTGTGTGTGTGTGTGTGTGTGTGTGTGTGTGTGTGTGTGTGTATACTTTAAAAATCAGGTTCAACCTTACGATATCCTCAGGTGATTTTTTTTTTTCAAATGACTTCTTAACGCTTTATTTTTTTTAAGACTATATAATTTTTTTAAATCAATAAACAAATGCGTGAGATTGGGTTTAATAGAAAAGGAGGAGGAGGTGGAAGTGAAGAAGGAAGGGGAAGAAGGAGGAGGAAGACAAAAAAAAGCAAGGATGTTATGAAAGTATGTGTGGGGGTGTAATGGAAATGTATTTTTTTTCATCCAGCCTCATATGTGCTTAAAAGGAATTTCTTAATATGTAAGCAAGGAAACAAGATTTTGATCTCTGATTCAAAAGCTTCTTTGGATCCGGAAATGTTTATTATTGCTAATTTTTCCTCTTGGCAGAGGTTGCAAATATCGTTGTGGTTATAATTTTACAGCTTACAATCGGATGCCTATGTGTGTGTGTGTGTGCGTGTCA